TACATACAGATCATTCTTGCTACATTCTAATACGATAACAACCTACTCTCTCTCTCTCTCTCTCTCTCTCTAGAGGGAGGGGAATTTAGATCTAGATTATATCCTATGGTCAATTGTAATGGTTTTCAAGAAATTTGAACTTTTTGAGGCTTTTAAATTCTTTTAATTAGTATACACAGAGAATACAATGAAACATTTCCACCCAAAGTTTAAATAAAGGAAATATTTTTTACCCATCCATCCCCTTACAACAGTGAACGGAATGCCCCCAGCCCAAACACCATGTAAATTATCCTGTACTCCTTTCCTATTTATGAAACAAAATTTACCCTAATTTCTACTTGATTATATTTTTAAGGAGAAGTATTTCATACTCATAGTTCTGTCCTAATTTTTAAGGGATTTTGGACCCGAGAAAGTCCCTAGTCACTGTAAACCATTCTCTCTGAGATCCATGGAGGTCAATAACAGTCCAGATCTAATGATCTTTGAAGAATTAAAATGAATAGTACGAAAAAACATACAAAATAGACCAGTTTTGAGGCTCAAATTTTTTTCTATGTATTATTATTGCTATTTTTTTCCTATTCATGATCCTAGAAATCTAGATGATGGACCTGCAAAATCTTGGTTTCATAAGGCAAACTCACAGCAACAGGTGCATCCCCAGACACACTAAACCCTACCCATTTTTAAACTACTAGAAAAATATGGAAAAATGACTTAGTCATGCCAGGACAGCTCTGGAAAATATAGGACTCTTTTGAGAACTGCTATCTCTATCTCTAGGATGTTTCAACATGGTTACAAATACAATCACTATAACCACATATATTCATAACACATATCAGAAATAGGGTTAAAAAATCATAGCCAGCTTGGTTTCACAAATTTACAAGAATAATATGCAGCTAATTTGTTGCAACAAGGATCTAAACTGGGTTCAATGACTCCAAATTGATGGGTTGGTTTGCATGAATCTCTAAGAATCTTCTTGATTTCACTTCTAAAGTGTCCATAGGAGAGAGACAGGGTTGTTTACTTTCTAGTGGGAGAGTAAAAAATACAAACAAATAAATAAACAGAGAAAGTTGATAGAGAGAATCCTGCTGTTCGAGAAACCAGGAGTCAGCACATAAAACCTTACAAGCATTCCCATTTTGAGGAGAGAAGGAAAAAATACTCACATTTTTATTGCCATATGTATGGACATGAATCTTCTCAATAAAGGAAAGCAACGAAAAGAAATGCATTTAGTACATACAGTAGAATTGGGGATGGAATCATCACCGAAGTCTTAAATTAGGCACTCGAGAGCCCAGTTCCACTTGAAAGAGGAACATTTTGTTGAGTAGGTACAAGTGCTAAGATCTGATTCTTCACAATACCCATTAATTGCTGTATCTCTCTGTAAATTCCAAGGTTTTGAGGAGAACATGGTTGCAGGCTTCTAACCGCATCATCGAGTATCTGAGCAACCTCAGCTGGTGGATACTGCCTCTCTGTACATGTCTGCATATCAAAAGTACCAACAAATAATGTCATTGTTGAGTTTCTAGCCCAGATGATTTCTTTGTAGGTTTTCCAAATCTAATTTTCTAGGGAAAGTCCACGAAAACTATATACCTATATATTATCTGTGCCTGCGCGTGTTTATAAAGATGGAGAGAGACAGAATAAAGACAAAGAAATTTTGAAAAAATAAAAAAGAATGAAAGGCATGTTAAAGCAGTTCCTCCAATATTGTAACTTGTATATTTGTTCCATAAAATATACATCCTATATTTTTCATGTAATCTTACATATATATTTTTCATAAAAACTTACATATGAATTAAGCTTCAATCAAATTTCTTAAAAGATTACCAGGAACAAGAGAAAACCATGTGACACTTAAGAAAATTTCTCTTTCGAAAAAATTGAGAGAGGGGATTCCTCACTATCACGAGCACATCTAGTAACATGGTATAGGTGTCCCCAGATCATTTAAACCAGTAACTGTATCCTATCTCTCAATCCCCTTGACCAACAATTACCTGAATCATGAGCAGAGTGGCAACACAAGAGGAGATAAGTTCAGAAGGCAACTGCGCTTCGTTGGCTTCTGAGAAGTCAATCTCACGCTTTGGTTCAGGTAGGCATATTGTTTCAGGATCAGTTTTGCATGGAACCACCCCATGATCCTGAGGTGGTGGTGCACTAGGTTGGTTTGTTGAATCAGGAGGAGGAATGGAAGATTGCATGGCAGGTAAGCTCGAATCACCTGTACAATTCTCATGATTTGCTAAATCCAGAGCCTCCCCCATCCTGTCAAATGGATTGTTCCCTTCCTTCAAAGACGGAACAACCTGGGGTATCCATCAGATCAGCTCGAAATTATCTTGAATGGGGCATCAAAAGAGGAAAAAAATGGAAAGTAAACAAGTATATATTTTGAAAGAAAGAAGATATTTTATATGTTTTAGATGTCACAGAACCAGTATTTCAGAATCAGGAAGCCAACTTGGAACTGCGAAAAGACAGAAAAAAGGAAAAAAAGAAAAAAGAACGTTTTTTTGGTTCATAAAACCCTAATCCACCATTTTCAGTCACTCTCCCTCATTAAAAATCATGAAATTCATGTCAAAAAGTTGAAGCCTCTTTCCTCTTTCCTAACCACAACCATTTTTTGGATAAAAACCAAAATAGAAGAAATGATGAGTCCAACCAGGAGATTTTTTAAACCAAACCAAAATTGAAAATCTTCAACATCTCTCTCATTCTTTCAACAAATCTTGTCAAATTTGTCCCAAAACATTCCTATCACATTGGTCTACAAAATCCAATAAAAGCAAAAAATAACCTCTCAGATTGATTTTGGTTGTCTTTTTTTTTTTTATCCTCCATTTTCTTCAATTCTCCTATGTTTTTTTTTTTCTCTCTCTTATTTTAATTTTCTCTAAAGAAAACACAAATTTGTTCTTTTTTCAAGTACTCTATGAGATCGAAATCAATTTCTCGGATCTATAACTCCCTATCAGACGAAATCGAAAGATGAAAAATTGGGTTTTCTTTTCCATTTTGAGCATAATTTTTCTTGAGATTTAAATGTTTTTATATTTCAATATTGATTTATAGCTCCTATTTAATGAAATGAAATTTTTTATTTTGATTTTCAGGGGTTTTTTCTTCTCTTTTTCCGTCATTGTTTCATCCCCCGAATTTATCTTTTTTTTTCTCTAGTTTATTTCTTTTTTAATACCATGGACCGCCTATCTGACACGTCGAGATAGCCGATCTAACTCAAAAGGAGAACGGTTCAATCCGCCAGTCCAACTTTTTAAACCTTGGGCCAGTGTTTTAAAATGCGGCCGCATCAGGCGCTATGCGCCACCCAACGCATCGCACTTTCTCGCATATGCAGTTTGGAGAGATGCGCCCGCATCAAAGCCGCATCCCGCATCAACTGCATCAAACCGCATAATCTGTCCACCATTTTTTTCAAAACTGTACCCCTTGTGCAGGGGCAACAAGGTTATTTTGACCTTTGAAAATGGGGGGAAAGGGTTTGGGGAGGTATTAAACCACCCAAACAACATTTGGGTGGAAATTTTATTTGTGGAAGTTCTTCAATTTGTAATACAAGATACTACCAACTAAAAGCCCATGAAGATTAAAAGTTAAAAATCAAAGAACTTTTCCCAGTACTTTTCAAATAAAATTTGTAACTTTAAAGAGTTTCATGGACTAATACAGTAAAGTGACAAATTAATGAGTTTATAAAATTTATTGATCTTCATAAATGCTTTGATATTGAAAAGTTACAATATTTTTCTAAATTTGTAAAGTTTGTTAAAAGTATACAAATCGAGTCGAAGAACTTTGTGGACTCTTTTCAAGATTACAGAGTTTATAAAATTTGTAACTTTAAAGTTTTTGGTTGCAGATTTGTGCTTATGGCTGTTGATAGTTGAACGTTTTATGAAGCCAAGTTTCTAGTTTCTATCTAGGGATAGTGGATACAGAATATCCGACAGCTAATAATTTTGGAGTTAATGAATAATCTAAATATCTATTATCACATATATCATCTCCATATTTTTTTCTATGCATTAACCTATTTTTTTAGTTTTTTTTAATTTTTTTATATTTATTGACCGCATCGCAATGCACCGCATCGCCCCCCCCCAACGCTTTTGGCCGCATACCGCATTTTAAAACAATGCCTTGGGCAGAACACAATCATCACCATCTAACGAAAAGATGTCATGGGGGAAGCAAGCCCCACAGTTGGCACCATGTCCCATTCAATGTCACCCTAACACTTTGATTTTTGTCATGTATCGCGTGTCAAAACTTGTCGACACACTTTGACACAACCGACACTCAAGCATGGAAAATATTTTTTATGAACATGTAGTATCGAAATGGTTAGTCTCAGCTATTGACACGACATATCCCACTTTATGCGGCTAAAAATATTAGCCACCCTGCCTTTAACCACACTTGTGGTGTAATACACATATATAATACACATCCTAAGAAAAAGTAAGGGATAAATCAACCATGATTGACGTGGGATTTCCAAGACAAATAGCAGTAATTGAACACACTTATTCTAATACAAAACTTGTCATCAAAAATCAAAGAGCAGTACTTGTCATATGTTTATTCCATTGTACTAATATTCTCTCTCATGTGCTACATGTCTATATCAATATGGCCCCACCCGGACTAAGATGTTAAACATAGTTCCACAGGAACTTAAAAACCAAAATACCTCTTCTCTTAAGTACAAATATGGTTTATAGTCTATTTTCTAGAAAACAAATTACTCTTTACGAGATTTGAGCTTACATCTTTCCAGAATAAATATAAATGGTTATATCAAAACCACAATAAATAATGCTCAACATGCATTATGCAAAATAAAATATCACTAGTAAGATTTAAAAAGCATCATTTGGAAAAATAAAAGAATCAAAACATACCTTTTATTTTTATTGTATATCTATATTTTAAAATATTCTATTGGTTTATTTTTAGACCAGCCATACCCTCCATTAGACCAGCTAGTACAACGCGTTGCTAACAGGAAAAGTTTAAGTATGAGCATATAACATCGGACTAGGGTTCATGATATATATCTGGCAAAAGTCTTATGTTGTGCGAGCCTAACACAACCCTCCATTATCATCTGAACTTGGGACAAAAAGAGCAGACTTTTTAATTCCCATTTGTCTATTTTAAAATTCTTTTATAACTTATCAACTACTTTTAAATTATTTTTTATATATAGCAAATTGTACAAACATATCGGGGTCGTACTGGATTTTTAAGCTGTAGTACTAGACACCTGAGATATGTTATAAACACAACACTCATGTCAGTGTCCATGTAACATTGCTCCCTTTCAAGTGGAACGTGAAACCAAGAGAGGGGTGGTGATCGGAAACAGGGGTGAATGGTGATCGAAAACAGGGGATCATGAAATGGCACAAAGATCCCTTTGGGTGGGAGCCCTGTCTACATGATGCATATGTTAGAAATCTATGTCGGGGCTTTGTGGCCTTTAAAGGCCATGAGAGCGTGCAAATAAAAATTTTAGTGGATTATACACTTCAGTAGGAGTTTATGGGTTTGTTGACTTAGGCGGTCTATGGGCATGGGAAAGTCCAAAACCCTTACCCCAAGGCATACAACACAATCAAAAGCATTGTCAAAGGATGTTTTGTAGGTTAGGAGAACTTTGTGGTCTCCTGTGTGCGGATGTAGGCCTGAGATAATGAGGCTTAAATCCTAAATAAATTTCCGCACGGCATGTACATCTGATAGTTGCAGTATTGAGAAGAAACCCAGAAAAGGGATACATCTACATGTGCATAGAGAGAGCCCCCTTGCACTATAGTGATATGTGCATGTGACATGACTTTAGGGAGGGGGCTATAATGCACATTCTGAGAATGTGGTTCTACTATTTATTGGCCAACTTTGACATGCCAATCAAGAGCCCATACATGAGATTGTGGGTCATGGTTTCGTTCGGTCGATTCAAGAAGATAGTTGAAGGTCATAGTTATTGGGTCGGGTGCACTGCCTTGATAGTCACTTGACCCGTTGGTATCAGTCTACTTTTACATATTTTACTTTCAATGAAAGGAATGTTTCTGTGAATTTTTAAAATTTACATGATTTTAAAAATTAATTTCAGATGCAAATTCCATGAAAAGGGTATTATGAAATTATGGTCATGCAGAGGAGCACGTGTGGGGCCCTTGGATCCAACCCCACATTGTGCCACACAATGTGGATGGGTTGTAGAGCCCATGGAGCCCATAACTCACTCTTGGAGGTGGCACGTCCCCCTCTATTATTTTTAGTTATGTTTTAATAAAATTAAAAGGTGTCTTTTAAGTTCATAAGTTAAGGAAATCTTTTGAAAAGATTATGTCCTTGTTGTGTCGGAGTTAGTTTTTGACAATATCTTTGACCATATCTATATCTTTTTTAACTCCTACAATCTTGATAGATATGAGAGTTCTAAAAGATTAGGTTTAGATGGGTCTTATCCTAGTTGCTAGAAGTGGATATGGTCAAAGATTCAGGGGATAAGGTTCTTAGAATTCCTCTCTAAATCATGATGGCTGATTCATAGGATGAATGGCTCAAATTTAATTCTCTCACCTTACAGATTAAAAAAAAAAAAAACATATTGGTTATGATGAGGTATAATTGGATAGGCATATCTAAGGCCCTCAAGAATGGGTTGGGGCCTTATTGGTAGTACTGTCAAGCACCATAATGAAGTATTGGACTCCATTCCCAATTCCCCACTGACCTGCCCTTTTTTATAGGAAATGGACCAATGTCGCAGCGGTATTACCTCTAATGACCTAGAAAGAGGTCTCAGACTCATTCTCACACAAGTAGGGGCCCAATCCCCATAGAACTACTCAAAAAAAAAAAATCTAAGGCCGTTAAGACCTATATAAGGAGGAATTCCCCCCTCATTCTCTACACCATTATTTTCTAGACTCTCTCTATCTACACTTTCTCACCATTCCACACCCCACTCTCTGTCCTCTCTCTTTTTCTCTCTTCTCTATCTACGTGGCACGCCACCTCTCATAAGTCTTTAGGGTGGCATGCTCCACCATAGTAAGGAAAGAAGGGGGCACGCCCAGCCCTAGATTCGGTTAAAGGGAGGTGCCACTCTGTCGCATGCCCCATAGGATTGAAAGGGGTCTTGAAGATTCTCACTATCTCATGCTATTAAAACTTTAGTTTATGAGATATCTCTTACGGAAGCTTCCCGGCTCAAAAAATTCAGCAAGGCCAATAGGATAAGAGTGCTATATCAATCAGGAAATCTAGTGTGGAGTGCCCTACGTCCTTTAGGGGTGACCTTAGGCAAATTCAAGTAATTCTCCCGACTGTTTAGTTTTATTTTCAGTTACCTTTGCTTATTTATGTGATTTTACAGGTACTAAAATTGTTAATGGAAGCTTATTTTTAATTCCTGGATTATTTTTTTTATTTGGCAGTAAAAACAAAGATCCTAGGTTATATTTAGGGTTTTCTTTTTTATTTACAGCAGTGCAACGTGGCACTCGTAAGTAGAATTCAAACTGATTATAAAAGAAAAAGAAATATTTTGATTTTACTCCCTTGAATCCCACATAAGCACCTCTTTCAATCTAGATCACATTGTTACAAATCAAGATCCCAACCTTTTAGGGGTCTTTGTCCTAATCTCAAGGAGTGTATATAGTCTAGGACTATGTATACTCTTTAAAGTAGGGATCTCTTATTTATAGCCAACAAGCAATGCAACTATGTCTGGTTGTTGTCCTGGTCTTTAAGGTTAGGATAAAGATCCCTAACAGTAGGAACCAGGATACCTACAATGGGGATTGAGATTTCAAAATTTAAAAATCGAGATCCCTTGAAGATCCCTTTCCTAGAGCACCAGAGAGAGATTCTGGAGCAGGATTGCTACCTATGTTGGGAAATCCTAATAAATATGATTGTACATACTAGAGTGGAACTCCAAATCCAAACTCAAACAAGTCCAAAATGATGTGATCCACGTCTAATGGGAGAACCTCGAGTTCATAAGAGGAAACAAATACACCCTACCTGCATTGCAGCATCCACCAATGCCCTAGCTTTCCTCCTTGAACTCTCGACAATTTCCGCTACATGAGATGTAGAATCCAAAGATATCGGAGCACTTTGATTTGTTATCGACAAGCCTCCAGACCCAGGCCCAACTGTGTTGGTCACAGAACGGTAGCTTGGAGGCAAAGAGGTGTCCTGGTATGTGTTCCGTTGCCTCAAGGTAATAAGTGCCTTCTCTACCTGCAAGTGATGAAAACATACTAAAACTGATTAAACACACAAATACAATAAAATAACCACAAGATCATGGACTACAGAATATGGAGAATCTGATATTTCGGCCAGATAATAATGTAAAGCCAAGTAGTGATGCTATAGCGACTCATGGGAACTTGCCTGATCATTAGCACCATTTAGTTGGACAAGGAGCATAGCATACTGCTTTTTGAATTGCTCTGAGTGCTTGGCAAGGTCAGTGTTTTTGATGTTATCCCCAAATTCATTATTCATGTGCCTCAGCTCTATCAATATGGCTTCCTGCAGGAGAGAACATATAATGATTCAACCAATAATCAAATAAGTCTAGAATGGATAATCACTATCAAATATGCTAGCATCGATTCACTATTCTATTATCATGACTTTGATCAAGATTATATGGCTTCTCCATATGTATCTTGACCATGAAATCTGAAAAGAGTCTTCTATTGTACTTAGAGATATATGATAAACTGCAAGCATTTGTCTACCCCCTCCTATTTCGGTTATGGCACCATATGACTTACACATATATTTCAATTGTTTAATAAGTGATCAGACATTATTAATTTTTTTGCTTCTGTGTGATTTCCAGAGAACATCAACATTCTGTTTCACACTTCAAAACATTAAATTTTGAGTTTCATACATTTTTTGTAATGGGATTACTTAAGGCAGAAAACTTGTTTTCGATAAGGAAAAGAAAGGCAGCGAACCTTTTTTCCTTATTGAATAAGCTTTCTCCCTAAAGCAATTGCTAGACAAACTTACAATTTTCGGATTATCATGCTTTACTTCTTGCAATTTCACAATATCTAGTGTCATAGTGCACTCCATACAACTGCAAAACCTTGCATGAGCACTCACATATATCAGCACGATCCTAAGTAGACAGACAGCAACATCTAAACCAAAACTAATTAGCCAAATTATCAAATCTTCCAAAAAAATTACCTATCTACAAATAAACCATCGAAGTTATTTACCCCAACAAAGTGTAATAATATGTTTGGTGCTTCAGACAAACAAATAGTAGTTAAAAAGTACCATAAGGGTCAGAAAAATCATGTACCTTTTTATCAAGAGCACGAGTTAACTCAGCAAGTGCCTTAATATCAGCCTCCCTTGCTTGAATTTGAGAAAGGCTAGAAGGTTGGTTGTACATCCCTTGATGTGCAGCAAAAGAAACTTCATTTGCAGCAGCTTTTGCCTGCATGACTGCATCAACAGTGTCTCCCTGCAGAAAATGAATTTACAATTTAAACAATTCTTAGGACAATCCTATAGTTCAACGGATTGCTGTATATTCGGGTAAAGTAGAGCTACAGACCCTTGCTTGCATGAACAAAGTGTTCATAGAATGATCGGGGAAAGCAACAAAAAAGGGTCCATCAGTTGCATTATCCAATTTTTCACTTGGAACAGGTCCCAATTGTTCTCCGACTTTCCACTCTTTGGGTTTGACGTCCAGTTTAATATCATTAAGATCCTCTCTGAAATTACTCACTTCATGATTTTTTCTTTTAAGAGCATCTGGCATATTCTCTAATTGATTTAGAGGCATGCAATCAATATCCTGCAAGAGCAAGTGGATATACTTCAAGTGGTAACATCAAAGATTAGATATTACAGGGTAAGTTAAAAGTTCCAATTGAGACATTATATTTTCATCATAATGGGAGTAACAAGCTGCAGAGAAAAAACAGTGAATATTCCTTAAAACGAATAAGAGGCACAAATATTCAAAAGTGCCATCACATAGCATCCATGCCATGAATTATACAGAAGAGTCATAAATCATAATGTAGACCGCCATATTTATGAATCTAAGGAGACAAGGAACAGTGAGCTCATAGCTATCGAAGATTACCAGCACAAACTCCACACCTAGTTCTGGCCTGTCAAATTGAACTCTGCATCTGTTACCATCAATGGTTAATATGCTCCCATCATGGATTTCTCTGGTCTTTGGGTGACAGGCAATAACACGTTGTCCAACGGACAAAGGCCTTGGGAAATCTGCAGGCAATCCTTCTCGAAGGCCATTACGCAGATCGCTATAATGTTTCCTCACTGATTCACGATATTTTTCCAATTTTTCCCGCTCCTCCTGTAAAAATCGCTTGGATAATCGCCGTGTCTTGCCAAGTGAACTGTACAAGAGACATCAAAAAATCAGAGGGAAGAAATTAAAAGGAAACCTTACCAAAGCACACCTAAAATATCAACTATTTAAGATTCACCCACTTATCAAAACACACCTAAAATATCAAATATTCTAACTCATGTTTATGTGTCCTTTGATGGGCTTTTTGAAGTTGACTCAAAAGATACAGATGAGATGTTAAATAGTTCATCTCTAGAGTGCTTTTTGGGAAATTTCCCACATAAAATAGCACTATATAAAGAATAATTCCAATCACATCACCATAAAGGAGCTTTCTCCTAGCAAATTAATCATCCATACCCAAACTTGGGATCAATGAAGCTGCACACATAGCATTATAGTATTTACCATTGTTTTAAAAGCTCGAATCGAGAGACTAGATTGGTCAACTGTTGGGCTGATCTGGTCTAGTTCAAATGATTTTCTGGTGTTGGAACCAGTCCAAAAAATTTAAGTAATATTTAAAAAAGACAAAAAAAAATTGAGAAAACACTAAAAAATAAAATGGGCTGACAACAGGCAATTTGGCCAATCTAAGATCGCCACAGGCTCATTCAATTCTCTAACAGAACCAGGTGACCAATGTTTTAAAACACGGATAAGTGGGGTGAATCGCCACCTATTTATCCCGATCAAGATTGACTGGATCGTCAATCCGGTAAAATTATTAACAAAAAAGGAAACATGTACACTACTAGAGCTCTTGGGGAGGGATCGAACCTCCAAGTGCTATAAAGTCGCACACCCTAGCCAACTAAGCTATTCTAGCTAGTTGCTATAATGTTATGCATTAGTATATAGTATTATATTTAAAAAAATATATTTATATTATTAGAACTCCAAAAGAAGGCTTCAAACCTCCACCCAAGTGATTTTAAGCCATCCTCTCTTGCCAACTAAGCTATTCCATGTCCAACCATTTGTTATAAGTTTTACATATTGTATCTGATACAACTATCAAGCACTGATTCCGACCAGGAACCAGTATAATATCTATAGATTCTCAATCCAGATCGGTGATTCACGATCCAGATTGCCAATTTTTTAATCATTGTGAGCGAATCTATAACCATCAGACCGATTCCCAGTTTCGACTAGGAATTGGGTCGGTTCCCCCCAATTGCTGATTCAGATTTGCGTTTTTTAAATCTTAGGCACATATAATAGGCTGCCCCAAATATCAGAAAAATAATATGTAGAAGCATGTCTACCTTCTTATGACGCCCCACTCAACACGAGTCAACCTTGGAACGTGGCCAAGGCGAACATGATTTAAATACTCCACAAACTCACTTTGAGCGAACCAGGGGTAATCGATAGCACTGTAGAACCACTCATATGTACACCATCTACGTAGCTTTGGAGAAGACAGGCAGTGCACAAGAGCATTCTGTAACAAAAATACCATTCATTTGGTGTATTGTTTCAATAAGTTGAATAAAGAAATGTGTATAAGACATATCATATCTGACCTTCACCTCAGCAACTCTATCCTGATGTGAATGCAAATTATTAGGAGCTTTAATATTCACTGTTCCAAGCTCATTACCAGCAAAGTGTCCTGAAGTGTCGGAAGACTTCAAATCCTTCTTCACTAATGTTTTTGGAAGATCCATCTTACGTCTACTTCTCAGCTTGGTGGGTAAGCTAACCTGGTTCATTGTTGCAATTTGTGCAGCCGATGCAGTAAAATGGGCATCAACTTTTCCCACATCAATATTTGAAGAGGACCGCTCTGGAGGCTTCGTTGATTTCCCTAGTTTTGGCACTGCACCAATCTGGCTGACTCGCTTTGCTTTAGTTGCAGATTTCTTAACTTCTCCAATTGAGCCCTGAATTGATAAAATACATCTTCAGAGAAGCAATGCATGCACTAGAAACACAAAAGATAAAATGGGAGAGTAAAAGCAAGCCTGACGCGCCTGCAACCGATATACATTAAATGCAGGTTTGGAGAGGTATACGTATGTCACATTTTGTTCCTAAACTACCCTTGCCTAAAGCCTGAATTCCATAAGAAAAGATCTCATTTGTGTGGGATTTTAAATTTGTTCATATCCTCATCTAAAATAAGCCTTTTTTTAATAAAATACCCCTTCGCAATAACCACACTAATTAAAGTAAGACCCTTGCAATGTTTAGAAGATATATTTGAAGTTCAAATATTTAATTTTAAAAAAAAATTTATTAGCAATAAAAGTTCCTCAAAAACAAGGTTATAAAAGGTTCTTAAACATAGGTTTTTATTCAAAGTATGATATATTCAAAATGCTACTCATCTCTCTCTCCCTCTATATATATATATATATATATATATATATATATATAGTAGGTAGTGTATGACGAAGAGAGACTACTTTCTTCTTTTACGTTACTAGTAGTACGTACACTAATACTACTTACTTACGTTACCTTTAACTTTAAACGTT